CCCCAAAACCCCAAAACCCCAAAACCCCGTGATATAACTATAAAGTATAGAAAATATCTTTTAATAATATTATTTACTTTGAAGTAATCTTAGTTATTTAATATAGATTAATTTTCTGTCAGGAATGTCTACCTGATTTATCAAATGTCTTTAAATGCTTCAATTCCTTTTTAACTAATCACGCAAAGATGCTACATCTCTCTGAATAGCTCATTATAGTCCATTCCATATCCAAAAACAAACTAATCTGGGATGAAGAAACCTAGGTAATCTGCAACAAAGTCATATTTCAAGTTTTTGTGATTCTTTTTGTGGAATGCAACTGCAAATTTAAGTGTCTTAGGTGCCATTTGGCTTAAACTGTCTCTACACCTAATAATTGTGGAGCCTGAGTCATAAATGTCTTCAATGACAAGAATGTTCTTTCCCTCTACTTGATCCTTTGAGAAAGGCATCACAATCTACAAAATTTGTTAGTTATATGATTTGAATCAAGATTAGAGTCTTCAAATATCTTAATCAAATCTTACATTATCTTTATCAACGACCTATTCATTCAGATGGTAGCTAGTAATTTTAAAGAATCTTGGTACAATATTGATATTTTCACCTGTGATCTCGGCTATTTTCCTAATGTGCATCAAGAGATCGCTAAAGAACTTGAAAGCACTGTTCATAATAACGAAGACTTCTAAGTCTAGACCCTTGTAATCTTAATGGATTTGCTATGCCATTCTTTCTACTCTATTATCTAATAGTCCCTCTGGGATCAAAATGTACTCAATATAGTCCTATGATTATGATTTATAAAACGAAAGAGAGAGTTTTATGTACCTTGTACTTGGGGTTGATAACAAAATGATCCTTCTCAAATCTAGTGTTATCATCAATGTTAATGGCATCAACTTTAGTTGGGACGGGATATGGCTCGGTGGAGTGGTTTTATTATTCCATTTTAAATTAGTTTATAAATATAATGAAGACCTTTAATAATTATTTACTCATTATTATATCTGTGGATAATTACTCTAAAACACTCTGATTTCAGCCTCCTCTAGATACCTCGAGGGTGTGACTGGAATATCTACATAGTAAAGAATTCTATCATATGTTATTATAATCAGTCTGTGATTTTTGACATCAAACCCGACTGTTTTCAGCTTCTCATCAATCTTGATTTTTGAGCAACTCCATTCTGAATTGAAGTACTTAGAGAACATCTTCATAAATGACAACCTATAATATAAGTATTAAATAATCCTAGGTAATCTTACTTAGACTTTTTATTTTCTCCATCTGGGTTCTTCGCAGTAGTTTCATTTGAAAAGCCAACGTGCTTGGTTTCAATACACTTCTCTACTGATTTTTTAATTTCAAAGAGATGGATTGACGACCTATTGGAAGTACAAGCAATCATATTGATGCTTGGATGGAAATTCAAACTTGTGATGAAGGCTTTGCTTGATCCCCTCCTAAGCTCTTGTAATAAACCTCCTTCCTCAGCACTAAATATTCTAATAATCGTTCCTCTAATAGAAGCAGTAGCTATTAAAGTGCCATCAGAATTTACTGCTAGAGCTCCTACATCCGATTCATGGGCTTAAATAATACTCTCTATACTTTTGTTCACAACTAAATAAAAATAAGTTTAATAACACTAAATAATTACCATAAGTAAGAATCTTTAGTCCTCCTTTCTCAGTATGCAGACATACTATAGTCTTTTATGTAGGCTTCTCTGCCGTACTTAGGCCACATAAGCCTAATGGATTACTGCAAGTATCGATTTGCTCAATAAGTTTCAAAGTTTCGAAATTAAATACAAATATTTTATCCTCAAGTACTACGACTAACATATCTTTTCTCAGCCTGATATTCTTAATCTCACTATTCTGATTGAAAGTAATCTCTGTTCTATTCTTTTTCTCATGATCGTCCCAAATGACGACTTTGTTTTTCTATCTTGTAAAGACTAGGACGATAATATTGGTTTTATACATCATCTCTATGAGTTCTATACTGTCGTTCAAATGCTAACACTTTTTCTTAAGCTTTTCTGATGATGAATCATTCTATATAATTTCGAATCCGATATTTGTTGCCACAGCAAAATACTCTTGAGTTTAGTTGCAAGTAATATGGTTGATCGTGGGGTCTCTAGAGAAATCTATCGTTCTCTTAATATCTGAACAATCAACTTTTCCTTTGTTTGTTTTCCTTTTAATCCTCATTTCATCGGGATCATCCAACCCATGATTTTAACCTGAGCCTTTTGGAGAAGGTTACCTCTTTGCTGGCCTCGATACTTCCTGCTGCTATACTTAAACATATGGCTAACGCTGATCATCCTCATTATTTTCCATTTGTGCAATAAAATAATTGATTTAATGTATTAATTCTTAATGTTACTGAATAAGTTTATTGCAATTTTGTCTATAAATCTATACTAATGGGGTTTTGGGGTTTTGGGGTTTTGGGG